ACATCAACCTACTTAAAAAAATAAAAAAAAATAAAAAAAAACAGAAAATTGCTCAAACTAGGCGCTGTGTACTCACCTGATTTCCTATGTCCATGTATACGTCAATCTATATTCACTTAAAAAGTTAAAGAAGCAACCAGCAAAAAATATATAATCTCAATAAACTACATTTTAAATCAAACAATGAAATAACATAAAAAAGGAAATTTATCTTAGCACTACACAAAGGAAATATCCACTTACCTTATTTACAAATTTACGTGTCTTCAGTCAAACGAAATTTCTTAACGGCATCCAAAAACTTCCTAAAATTATCTGAACTAGAATCTGTTTACTGGCATTGTCACATAAATTCACAAAATTAAAGAGTACAAAATATCCTTCGTAGTGCCGGTATCCTCCAAAGTTTGACTAAACGCAATTCCTTGTAACTGTAATGGCTACTAAGTAAACCTTCATTTACATGCCAGTCAATTAATGTTTTTTTCTCTTTCATTCCAAATCGTAGAGAAACTTAATCTTACCACATTCACCCATTTGACCACAAAATAACAACGTACTTATCCAAAATCCAACATGCAAACGAGCCTTTCCAAATAGTTTCCCATCATTCAAGTTCACCGCAATCATGCAACAAATTACATCATAATATGGTTTCCATGACATTCAACTTTCATTATCATAAATGAAACAACTTAGCGATAATCCAAGTGACACCCTTAAATCTACTCTCACCCTTTCTTCGTTTGCAGGCAAATCTCACAAACGCAATTTAAACATTCAGCTGAAGACCAAAAATATCGCAATCTGCCTTTAGAGCTTCTTCTAATACAACCAAAACAGCATGCATGAAAATGGCAATGTTGCTTATTCAAATTTGCAGTTATCAATAGGGTTACTTAAGTATACGGTTGCCACAGTTCGGCAACTTCTACCAAGGTACTTGCCATAAGTACCAAAACAAAAAATTGGATGAGCCAACAGAATAATTGAAACAGACACAAGACTTTTTAGGCAAAGAAAAAGCAATTACATGTTTATTCTTCTACCTCAGTTGGTTTTGGGTGATTTACGTCATGAGGCTAACGAATGTACTTCCTTGTTGTAATCCTAGATCGAACAGCAACCACTTTAATGTTTGAATAGTCAGTTAATATATGCATTTAAAACACAATGTTTCATTACAAAATCATATTTAAAGCCATAACACTCATTTTAATGTGTAAATCTGGAATTATATGATTTTATTTTGGAGAGAAAAAAAACATTTGTACTAATAACTAAAAATGCAATGATAAATAAATCTCCAGTTATTTTAAAATACAGTACTCTAACAGTTTCCAAGTTTTAGAATTTGAAACTAGTTTTGGAAAGAAGTAATTTCTCTTAACATTCTAAAACTACAATAAATTCATTTTATAAACTAAATTAATTGTGATTTATCAGTCAGATAACAATGAACATTTCAAATGCTCAAGTTCTTCATGTCCCATACAAATCTCTGCATTAGTTAATTACATATATAATGTTGCTTTTGATCACTATTATTTTATTTATTAACATATCATAAATGTTCTCTAATGACATGTAAAATATTTGTAAAACACAGAATTACCTTTTTATCATTTTTTTAAGGCCATGTTTAGTTTGTATTCATTTGGATGCATAAAAAATTCTGTGATTGGATCTATAAAAACCGTGAGCAAGTTTTACGTACTACTAAAACCATTACTTTATTCATTTATACACAGAATTCGTAGCCTTTAGAATACATGTGGGCGAATCTGAATACATATCACAATATTCAAACTAACACTAGTGGCCTATTAGGCAGTGGGCACAAAAAGTATTTGCACACATACATTTTTGTTCACAATTTATAAGAAAATGAATTAAGAAATACAAAAATTGGCATTTAAAACATAGAATAAGCTTATTCATTTAAATTAATTACAAAAAATATAATAATATTAATAAAAAAATATTTTTGCAACAATACAGTCAAAAGTCGTTAATTCGGACACCCATAATCCGGAATGATCTATAATCCGGACATCAAAGCTACAATCTTTCTGCGCATGCGTCGCTTTGACGCATGCGCGTAAGACCTTACCGCTGCAATTTGCGTGTGCGCTGTGGCGCAAAATACGTTTTCGAATGCGCGTTTAATGTGTAACGGACGGGATAAGCTAAGCTAAAATAATCTAATTATCTATTTCAGTTAATGTTGCAGATTGCGTTGTTCCTTAATCTTCGAATTGGATCCGGATATTATTTTGCAGACTGTTAGGCAATTTATAAAAGTAAGCTTGAACTTTCGATTATGTCAAATAGAATTTCTGATAATATATTACTAATATGTAAAGGATTACAAAGCGAAAGTATCTTTCGGAAGCATTAAACAAAAAAATGAATTGCTGCAAAAAATGGATAAAGGCATATTCTTTGTTTATATTAACTTAACGTTTGTTTATCTAAACTTGTTTATCTTTAACGCCGCAGCCGCGTGCAATGAATGGAAGTTGATTGTCAGCACTATCCTTATCTTAAGGGCAGATGTTTTTATTTTATTTGGCTTATAATTGATTTACTCAATGTAGTATTTATCTCGATGTACTCGTCTTTGATATGATTTAAATCAATGCCTCGTCATTATAATTCGCTTCGATAGCGAAGAAAGTGACATAGGTTATTGAAAACAAAAAAATTTCGATTGACAAATTGGTCGGTATTCTCGACACAGCAATTATAGGACTTGAACAGCGGAACTTTGTAACTAAAGAAATTATGTCTGTTTAATAAAACTAAAGAGAAAATATTATCGCATGAAAAAACGAAGCAACTGAAACAACTTACATTGAAGGAAATGTTTAATAAAGTAAACAAATAAATATTAAGCTTTTTTTTTGTAAATTTTGATACCCTTTAGATCATAATTGTTCTTTATTTTGTAAATTACGGTTTCATATTTTTACTTTTATAATTCTGCATGCCATTTACAGATTTAACTGATGATCTATAATCGGAAAAATCGATAATCCGGAATCGCCGAAGTCCCGACGAGTCCGGATTAACGACTTTTGACTGTATTAAAATATCTTATGTCAAAAAAGTATTTGCACACTCAACTCAACTTTAGCAAATTTGAGTTTTTATGCTATTATTTGACAGTCCTCCCGCAGTAAATAACATACGTAAGACGACTATAAAAGAAGGTGTTGTAGAAACGTTATCAGTTGATTGTCGATTTCAAACTGTAATGGCACCTAAGAAAACTGAATTGCCGATTTCATTGCGAGAAAGAATTGTTCTCTACATGAAAATGGCCGAAGTTATCGAAAAATAGGTAAAAAAAGTACATGTTTGCTTCTCTACTGTTCGGTATGTTATAAAAACGTCATAAAGAAAGAGGATCTACATCAAGTAACTTGCGCGCTGGACACTCAAGAAATTTCACTGCGAATGAAGTGAAAAAACTCATAAGAGAAGCATCAAAAAATCAATTTATTAGTGCAATTACTTTAGCCAATGATGTCGCTTCAACATCTTGAGTTCAAATCTGTGCCCAAAGTGTTCGAAATGTCCTGCACGATGCACACATTTATGGGAGATCTCCAAGGAAAAAACCTCTCATAACTGAACGAAATAGATTGAAGAGACTTGAATTCGCTAAGGAATATATCAATAAGCCAATTGATTTCGGGGAAAATGTCATATTCTCCGACGAGAGTAAGTTCAACATCTTTAAATCAGATGGCAGGAAATTAGTTTGGAGAAAACCTTGTACTGCTTTTCATACCAAAAATATGTTACCTACAGTTAAACATGGAGGAGGTTCTGTTATGATTTGGGGGTGCATGGCTAGCAAAGGTGTTGGTAATTTGTGTTTCATTGAGAATATGACAGCTCAAACCTATATTGATGTGTTGCGAGATAACTTGCCACAAAGTGCAATAAAATTGGGTATCAGTAATTTGTACTATTTTCAGCTAGACAATGATCCCAAGCACACTGCCGGTATAACACGTATGTGGTTGCTTTATAATGTTCCCAAAAACATGCCACTCCACCACAATCACCAGACTTAACTCCTTTGGAATATTTGTGAAATTCTTTGGATTTAAAAATGAGAAAAAGGAAGATTTCAAGCAAATCTGCCCTTATTGAAGAGTGATAGACTACTGATCCTACTGTTACAGAAAATTTAATTAAATCAATGTCAGCAAGATTACAAGCAGTAATAGATGCTAAAGGAATGCATACTAAATATTAGTTATTTGAAATTTGCTTATATATTTTATTTCTTTTGTATTCATGCAGTTGTGCAAATACTTTTTTGATACGAGATATTTAAATTTTTGGTTACAAAAAGCATTGTTATTTATATTATTGTAATTTTTCAGTTTGTTTTTGGATGATTAAACTTATTCTGATTTGGCAATACCAATTTTTTTATTTCTTAATGCTTCTTTTTATGAATTGCAAACAAAAATGTAGGTGTGCAAATACTTTTTCTACCCACTGTACATCACGTATATGACGCGCGTTACGCAAATGAGCGTCCTTCTACATGAGACAACGTTACATAATCACTACAAAGATAACAATACATAAATTTATTAATTTCGCTACAAATGAAAATTTCCCTCTGATGATTTTCATTTGCACCGCAAATAGAAACTTTAGCATAAAATTATAACGTCCGTTGTTTGACATTTAGTATATTATCTCAGAAGCAGTTTTCATACTCCTACTACATTATAGACAGTCAGAGTAATTCAGAATTGTAAACTCCGTGATGAACAAAACAAGTTCTGCTCCTGAGCGCCTGAATTTTCAGTGTCCGGACATTAACACAGCGTTGTATAACTGTAAACTCACAGTTGCATTAAAAGCATAATCATAATAAAATTATAAATGGTTAAGCATCAGAATAAATACAAAATAATCCAGACGTAATAAATGAAAATTAGGAAAAGATTTAGTCAAAATATGCTTACCATTATAATACCGAAATATTCATGTTTGAAAACCGTTCCAAAGAATAAAAAGCGCGCAATCGTAGTGGTGCACCTTTCACACTAGTCGTTGTACCCAAAGGGGGAAAAATATAAATTATTAGACTGACTAGTTAAAAAAAAAAATTTCCAAATCAGAACAATCAACGTTTGCGAAGAAGTTACTAGAACACAAACCCTAGACAGCGAATGCTTAAACCCACGAAATCCACAACTTTTTAACTCTATAGTTTCTGCCTTCACAACTGTGTCAGAGCGAAGGCGGTATTCTTCAATAACAAACCGTGTGTTGCACTCAAGGTTCGTTGCAATGTACTATAATTTTTCCATTATGACATAGCTTCTTAAGACAAAAGTTAACATAGAGTAAACAGCTCTAACCCCGTAATCGCCAACTTTTTAACTCGTGAGTTTTCGCCTTGACCAGTGCTTCAAAGCGAAATCGGTATTATCCAATAACAAAACCGCGTATTACACTCGCATCTGAACCCCAGATCATCATTCAGCTAACCAGATAGGTAATCTTAGTTTACGACACTGGTTAAGATTAAGCATGTGCAGAAAGAGCATGTTGACAAGATGGGAGTCCTGAAGAAATGTTTTGACTGCAGTATCACTACAAAACAATTCTTCAAAAGGGAATGTCCTTCTTCAACTTCTAACAACAATTGTTCCGTTTTGCTTTCGAATATCAGAAGAGTTAGAGATGGAAAAAAGCGTAATAGATTATTCAATGAAGCATCTTGTAACAATACAAACAGTTTATTTTACAAATCCAGAAAATGACAACTGTAGCTTTGATATCCAGTGACGTAGCTAGGGTTTTCAGCGCCCAGGGACAACTGAAGATTTTGCGCCCCTCTCTGTGCGCCACGAATGGAAAACACTTCATTCTAAAATTTCGTACCATCAATTTGGCGCACCCTGAATGCTGCGCCCAGGGACGCGTAATGGCAGACCTCACATTGAGTTGAACAGTGTTAAGCGAATTTCGCTTACTGCGCATGCTTGATGGTGCACCTTTGGCGCGGGGAGAAATATTGGTGACTAAGCAACCCTACGTTAGCTTATTCGTGATCTCCATGGCTGGTCGAGTGTGTTCGAGTGATTGTTTAAAACTGCAATGTTGTGGAACTTTGCTTATTAGTTATTTTAACGTCCATGCCGATTGCACTTGCTTATTTTTCTAATATAGTTTCATTTTAATTTGTCATAACAGTGCATTTAATATTTGTTAACATATGTTCGTAAAATTCGTTATTTAATTGTAATTTGTTTACATGTTTTAATTCAGTAATTGTAAACTGGAGTATCTCGCTTAGTTTTAGCGTATATTGCGTTTTTATTTTCTCATTTCAAAGAATTTAATAGCTAGCATTAAAGAGTTGTAAAATTTCTCAGTGTTATTTGCAGCACTTGTTATATTCCTCAGTGTTTCTTTATGTATGTACGAATGGAACGTATGATAAATCCGAATTGTTTTTAATGCTTAAAAGTATATGAATAAATTTTCAACTATATATCCTAAATTTCAGTCTTTTTCTGAAAGAAAATTTGTACAGATCCAAAGGAATGTGCAGAATTTCATAAGTATTATATTTTACATTTTGAATGCAAATACTTCGCGATAATTTACAGCTTTCTAGTTGTTTGAACAGTACAGCAAAAATAGTATTTTAACACAGTAATTAATTTACATTTACACTATCTCTACGAAGATTTAAACGCCAGATTTGTTTACAATCAGATGGCGGTACATCTCTTATACCGTATTTATCTTCTTTTCAAATCGCGCCAACATAGTAATTACGCCAAATTGTTTTCTGGTCATGCGCAGTATGCGACATTCGTTTAACACTTTTCAACTCAATGTGCGGTCTGCGATTACGCCCCAGGAACAGATGTCCCCCTTTGCCCCACCCTAGCTACGCCACTGTTGATATCTGAAACAACACACAAAATGTAAATTACGTAAGCTAATACTCATTAATTCTCAAATACACATAAGAAGCAACTCAAAGCCATTTTTCTCATCTCTATATACAGTCTCGTGAACCAAGCGTTCAAGTGTTACGGGCACCCGAGTAAAAACCCTATCCCGGTAGAGCAACAATTATTCCCCTTTCGCATATTATCGAGCATGATAATGGTGTTAAAGTCGTGAAAAGTCCTATCGATGTTGTAGACAGAAGTTCGAAATTCAGTACAGAGACGAGTCACACAGATATTCACTTCGAGAAGCAGAAACAGAGTGCGTAGCTGGCGAGAGCGGTAGTGGAAACTTGGGTAGGAGAGCATAAGTGGTACCACCTATTGACAGCTGTTGCAAGGTCTAAAACTCAAGAAGAGTAGATAACGAGCATCGGCTGCGGAGAAGAAGGTGACTGGTGGGCGAGAGATCCTCAGTGTGCTAGGGAGAAGGGGCTCTTTTCATTGCCATATTATTTTAGAAGGGTAGCCTAAAGTGAGGGGGGCGGGGAAAAGGAGGTTTGCTTGCTGAATTACAACTTAAATTTTAATGAAGATAAAAATGAAACAGAGATAATTTTTAAATTATAAATATGTTAGTGGGATATTTAAAAAGTAAATTAGAGAGTTATTTGTTGTTGAAATTGTTTAATTCTTCGAACATTACAAATAAGATGTACATTTTCTCATTATAGTTCTGTTTTTCTGAGTTTCATATCTGAGTTCATTAAGGAGGCTCATACACCTTAAACCCCTTGACACTCTTCGAATATGTGACTGTTGCAAGAATTGAGATATTTTATTTATTTTAAAATGAATTTCTAAATTCTATATATTAGGTTGTACTTTTTAAGCTACTGGGTTTAAAAGATTAAAAAAATAGGTTTCTTAAAATTTCAAAATTTTTCGCAAATGTTTTGAATTAATTAAAATATATGGCAATATTCCATTAGAGCGGCGTCAGTTAAAAATGATGAAAAAATGACAAGAAAACAATGCTACAACAACACACCAAATATCGTGCCTCGAGAATTTAACATTGAAATATCGAGGCTCGAGATTTCTAGTTTTCGTTTCAAATATCTTCACGCTACTATTTTTGCAATATTTCGTCACTTTTTGTTTAGTACGATGGAATAGACAATTTAATAATTACCTAATGACGAGGAGGCTGCCATAAGATTCCTTCAGGCAAAGAATAATTTACAGCAATTGATTTTGTTGTCAAAATTATTAGATGAAGTTAACTTTTGACTCAAAGCTCCTATATAACGTTGTTTCCAAAGAAAAAAAAAAGATTGTGAAATAAAACATAGTTTGAGGCTCGTGCCTTTCTTTCCTCAATGTCGTTCGTTTTATCTGTGTATGGTGTAAGGAATTGATGCTGACTGAATTTTGCCAACTTCAGTTAGAAATCAGCCATAATACTACAGTAAAATCAAAATAACTACTTGCGGGAGGGATGCGCAAATAGTTTGATGTCTGTAAAAGAAATAAAATTGATGGAGAATGGGTATTCGGGGATTTATGCCGAGAAAGCAAAGAATGTTTTCTGGTCGCATTTCCCGATCGTTGTGCTACGACATTGATAACTTCCATTCAGGAAAACATCATGGATGGCAGCATTATATTATTTTCAGACTGCTGAAAAGAATACAAGAAAGACGTATTAAGAAATTCTGGGTATGAACATTTCACTGTGAATCATCGTTATAATTTTGTAGACCTTACAACTGGATTCCATACCTAAACTGTGGAGTGATTGTGGGGTAAGTCTAAATGGAGTAATAAATATCAGAGAGGACTACTTGCAACCATTTAGAGTCATATTCGATAGAATTTATGTGGCATCGGTTATATTCAAAAACTGAAATTTTTCTATAATACTGAATGCTATTTGTAATTTTATGCCGCTTGCTTAAATTGAATTTCGTTTTGTTTTGTTATTTTTTATTTATGTGTAGAATATTCTTTTTGTCACTTGTCTAGATTAAATTTCGTTTTGTTACTTTTTATTATCTGTAGAATACTCTAGATTAACAAATTAAAAAGAAAAATTACTTTAAGAATTATGAAATTAAAAAAATTTTACTTTTTACAGAATTAATTCTTTTTAGTCTTTTGAACTCTATTGTTATTTCATAATTTTATATTTATCAACAACTGATGGCAAAAAAGTGGAGCATTTTTAACTGACAACGTTCCCTAATGGAATAATACTAAATGTAGTTATTTACCTTGCTTTATAATACTTTATCAAAGCAAAGGTGGAAGTACGTTAGCAATTGATATTTTAATTACGATGGCAATAATTCAAAATTAGGAAACAGGATGCTGTTAAATTATGCCACTATATTATTGATTCTGTTATACTACATTAACTAACATATATGGTAATTTGGTGTTTGTTATGAAAAAATTGGTGGAATGCAGTTTAATTCACTGCTTGGGGACAAAATGTTTTGTTCACAAAAAGCACACCTGTGTTGGCAACCTTAACGTTTCGCATTCCAGGAGCGCAGGTAGCTTTCAGTGCACCGCTTGTACATATTTCATACTGCATAGCAGTTTGATTTGAATTTGAATGATGAATGAAACAATTTTAATGCGTTGTTAGCACTGCTCTTTATGATTTTTGGAAATGCAAGGAGAGACAGCGGTTTCAGAATGGGGCATGAAAGTGCCTTTGGTTGCCCTAAATATGAGTATTTGAAATCTGGGAATAGCGTGTACTTATGTGAGCAAAATGGATAAACTGATGAATATGAATGGCTTTGTCAAAAGCAAAGTATTGGGAATCCGGATGATGTTTGTAAGACAGTGAGGAGAGGTTTACACTTTAAGCACAGTCATTTTAGCATTTATGGCATTTTAAGTAACTTTCACCTTTCCATCTGCAGAAAATCGCTAAATTTCACCAGGGTGGTTGAGTTAATAGGTAAGTAACAGTTTGCCTAAATGTTTGGAAAAAAAAGTGTCTATTTCTTATCGAAAACGGAGAGAAACGCACAAACTTGGTTCCAACAATGCAAAGAAAGTTTCAATAAGGGGATTGTCGCAGAATTCTCTTACAATGGGAAATTAAGGGGACTCATACACCTT